AAGGATGCTCAATTCTTTTTGGAAAACAAGTTCGCTATTATTGTTATGTCACAGTTTGGTGATAGCTGTAGAAACTCCATACTTTTCAGACGCAGACCTCACAACTTTGGGAATTTAAACTTTTTCGCTGCATTAAGTTAAAGGTGAAGTGTTATTTTCAGCTTTCTAACATCTGGTGACGCGGATGGTAAAGTATTCATTTGGGATTGGCGAAATCATAAAATAGTAGCGCGATGGAAAGCACACGATGATTGTGTTATTGCAACATTATGGCATCCACATGAAACTTCCAGAATGATAACCGGAAGCTGGGATAATGTGATCAAAATGTGGTCTTGAATGGATTTTTTTGTTTTAGTGAGGTCAAGAAGAAAGTTTCTGAGACTCTAAATTTTTGGAATTTCATGATATTGTTCATGAACAATTTTGATATTATTCATAACATTTGTGATGGAACCAGAAAGTTGTAACTCTAAGATGTGGTTCGGAAATGTCTAATTTTATACATTTCTCAACATTCATTTTTCGTAATTATTCCATTTTTCATGCTGATTGCTTTTATACTTTGATTTATTGCTGTTGTCGATGGAATTTAAAAATGAGATTTTAACTTAAATGAAATTTATGGTTCACCATATTAAAGACAATAAATTAATTAGTCGTCATAACCTTACCTCGTTCTTTTTCCAACATATTTTTTTTCATGTTTTTTTAAATGTTCTCTTGGTTGGATTTATGTTTTTGTGAATGAACTTTTAGCAGATGAATTTTTTTAATCAAACAAAAATAGTATTTATTAATCCTACATATATGTTAGAAACAGTTTAGTGTCACAGGTCATCATGAGAAGGGAAGTGGGATGAATCTCGTTCAGGAAGGTGAAAATGGTCATTTCATCACCTGGTCGCAACGATGAAATGTAGTCAGGGTGGATACTGTATATTCCAAGTGGGGAACTTTTTGAGGATAGGAAGTTCTTAAATAAATGATCTGCTAGGATTTGATGACTGCTATATTCTGCACATATTTTTTGCAATGGCTTTGCTTATATTTTTTGATGCATTGTTGGGAGTTACTCTTTATGAGATTTTAAAAGAAATGAAAAATTATAGAGTCCAGTTTTTGATATACTGTTCACAGCAGAAGTTGTAGCTATCTGATCCGTTCTACTGAGAGTACTGTTTTCTAAGTAACTGATTGTAATTTCTTTAGATGCGGTGCATGCGTATATTACATCCATCAAGTGCTGGGTTCATGTATAACACACGTCATAGTTATCGAGTTAGATTTCTGCGTGATTTCAACAAACAAGAAGAACCGAAATTGAGGACAGTTCCAACAAAATGGAAGGGTCGTGTACAGTGGTGGAGAGAACCGTAAGTAATTTGACAGCGTTAACTTTTAGTATCACTATTACGTGAATAACATTCGTTGTATTATTATCAGCTGTACTTTTTTTTGTCAATTCTTAGATTGTACCGCTAATTTATTGACTAATTTTGTGTTCTACTATCCGTGTATACCGCATATTAATTGTTTTATTATTTAATATCCGTGTTCACTTACCGTATGTGGTCGTTTTGATTTTTTCAGTATCTACATCGCACCACATGTGAATATCTTACAGAAGGGAATCGATTTTACCTATAAAGGTTATTGCTTTCTATTAATATATGTATCAACGTGATAATTAGTTATACATCTAGTGCATGTGCTATGCTGAGCAAATTGATATGAAATTTAATTATGTTTATTTGTGGAAATGAATGGATCCTTTGGAAAATTGAAAGTTGTTGAAAATTTTCGAGTTCTAAATTTGAATTTAGAAAGGGATGAATAATGTGTAACCTATATTTCAGATGGTCGACCAGTCTATGTAACATCTCTGGATGAACTGCGGAGGAAAAAGGAACAGATCGAATTGGGGGTAAATTTGCCATTAGTTTGGTTTTCTGATGAGAAATATGTGCGTCTTTAACGTAACTTTCAGAATATTTCAGAAACAAATTGTCAAACTTCTTGGTGAAGTGAATGAAGCCGAAGAAATGTATAAGCAGCAATTGGAAGCCGAAAAACAAGAAAATGAAAGAAGTCTTGCTATGGCACCAATACCAAAAGGTACACAGGAAATATCGTAAAAGTCGAACATATCTTGGACGTATGTGTTTGCATGGAATACACGCTTGCCATTTGCAAGTATTTTTGGCAAATACTTGCCATTTGTGATACGGAATTGTTTAAGGGGAGAATATGCCGAATGTTCAAATATATATTTTCCATATATGAATTGATCATTTCTGTACATAAATTGAGAAAAATTTAAAGCTGCAAGTTTTTCTCTTTTTTTCCAAATGTTTTTCATTTAGATCTATAAATAAATGTTTGTTAATATTTTCATATGTTTTTTTTCATGTTTTTATGCTTTTGTGCTTGCTCATAAAAACTTTTCAATGTTTTTATGAATTTAACGGTTGCATCAATGATGATATTCATGTTTCATCGAAATGGCATATTTGTCGGTATCTTTCAACAAATGGATTTATTTTTCGTGCACAAGTAATATGATTGCTAACAGCAAAATCAAGTAATGCCCTGAAAGAAGGAAAAAGTATTGTATGATTTTTTTTTTTACGTTATATGCCAAATTGTCGCTGGATCTTATTTCGTTACATCAAAAAAAGGGAGATTTTATTATATGTATTTCTTTTCTTTTAAAAATAGAAAAGTGCCGAGAAAAATTCAATTACTTTTTTTCATATGTGTTAATTTGAAATACCGTTGAGGGCATCAGGACTTGGAAGTTGTTATTTGCATATGTCAAGTGAATGGATGAGTGAAATGACGAAGTAATGAAAATGAAAAGGTAAATCTTGACGGAAATATATCGCTAAGACAGCTTAATTAATGGTAAAAAAGATAAGGGATGAAGAAGTGTTTTTGCAGGGACCTTAGGTGACCACAAAGAGGAAATCATCATCGAAAGTTGTGGAACAATCGTTATCATATATTTAGTCCAATGTGATTTACCCTTTTATTCGTATGATTTTCAGCTTTTTACTATATTTACAATATGATTTGAACAAGATAGAAACTAGACGGATAAAGAACTGATTATTTAGTTAGTATTTTTCCTGAAGATACAAACCTGAAAATGTACAAATATTGTTCCTTGGTTTGTACTGATTGAGCTCGTTTTTGACGTATATAAGCAACCATGTCTGGTACTACTAATTCATTACCAGCTACTAGTTGCATCAAACAAAGTTCAATTGCAACTAAAGTACCACTACGACCTATACCAGCACTACAGTGTACTACGGTACACGTCGGTGAAATACGTGATTTCTTCAGCAAGTAAAACGGTGTTTTGTAGTCATTTACTGGCACCTGAAATAATTTAACTGTTTTAGATACATGCAATACCTTTAATATAAGTGCCTAGAATCACGATACCTGTTTATCAGCCCATGATATCCATTGATAATGCATTACGGTAAGATTTGCATTTCCCCGACTAAGTAGTAATTGCGTCATGATAATATCACCATTTTTTGATCTCTTACGTTCCCGTAATTCAATCCGTATTCCAGCATGCATAATTGTACGAGTTTGAAGCCTAAATTACGGTGGAATTTCGTCTCTTGTTTTTAAATTACTTTATTTTTGTTTTGCTACTTTTGAAAACTCTGAATTAATACATTCTAATCTTCGGACTTCGGACTAAATTAAGGTTTCATTATCTAATTAGCTTGTTTATATCAATATTATGCAAAAAGAAAATGAATTCGTCCAAGAAACGATACAGAAATATTACTAAAAGTTTAATGATTGATGAAAGTATGCTAAAAATATTGACAATGCTTGGTAAAACTTAATGCTTGATATGATCAAAGTATATGTGTCTCTGAATTAGTTTAGGTATATAAAAATCGAGGGTTCATTTAGTCAGTTTTATGGGATTACTTTGTCAATAAAAACTTGGGCAAAATTGATTATTCAATTTCAAATTTGAAACAAATCTTAAATCTCAGAATTTTGATTTAAAAATTAACGTTGGTAAATATTCTGCACACTTCACTTTGTGCTCTTCAACATATTTGCAAAGCATAAATATAAGTCCGGATCGTTCTTGCCAAACCATTTCCCAAAAATCGTTTACTGTATTTGATAGTGGACCCTATTTAATATTAAAAATATTAATTTGAATTATTCGCAATGATTTAATTTCGGTTGATTTTAATTCCACAAGTATTAGGAACTAAAAATTGGTGTAAATAAGGAAGAAATGAATATGAAAGTTGAATGACAACATATTCATATTATTATCAATTAAGTTTTCAAAAAATGAAAATTTTCTCTTTCATTCAAATTTATTCGAAAAATGGAATAATTCAATACTTGTGTAAGAATGAAATCATTTTGAAGAACTTTATGGCGAACATAATTAGCATGTATATAATCTTCAACTCCACGTCGTAAAACAACTCTGGAACTATCCAAACAGTATACATCTAAAATAAAAGAAAAAAACGATTAATTCGTTATGCATTCCATCTAAATATCTTGCAGTACTGTTTCTATTACAGTACTTTGCGTCACGGTACTGTATATTATAACATTATGCGACATAATACTATGTATCACAATACTGTGCCTTGCGGTACTGTATATTACAGTATGCTGTATATTACAGTAATGCATCTGTAAAGCTAATATTGCTAATTTCCTTTGCTTTAACAGAATTTTTTTTTTTAATATATAGTGAGATGTTTCAAGAAAAGTCAAAGAATAAAGTAAGAACAAAAAGAAAATGAGAAATTACCGTTATAACGATTTTTATGATAATTTACAGGAAGCATTCCAATAAAAGCTTTTGCTTTAGATGGTTTTATCGCCTGAATATGTTCATATTGAGCAATAAGTACTTCAATCGATGTCCGATTACACTGCAAATTAATTATTGCTATATTAATTATTTATTGTACTAATTATCCAACAAATTTTATTTATTCATAACATCTAATTATTTATATTATATCTCAACTACATGTAATCTACCGTTTTCCATTTTAATTAAATAATTTATGTGCCTTTTCTTTTTTTTTTGAATTTGATAATTGAAATAAAGAATTACTTTTGATACAAATACAAGCAAATACCATCGTCTCTCCATCAAAAGAAGTTACTGTAATATTTTACCAGAAGAAAATCTATGACAATTTTTAACTTACATAATTGACAAATTCTTTCACACGTTTTTGCATGCGCGTTTCATAAAATCGTACTTCTCCTTCCGCATTGCTTATTTGAGATGTTTGAGAATCATCCTGTGTAAGATGGACATTGACCGATGGTCGTTCACCTTTGGTTACCTATGTACAAATGAATTTAGTAATAGAATTTTTAAATTTTCATAGATTACTTTTGAAAGTGATAGAATTTTTACAATGCTTGATGTTACTGTATTTAAAATTTTAAAAAAGATGAGGGAAAAAGAATGAATATTTCACATGAAAATATTAAAAATTATTTATTTCTAATGAAAATTTTTTTAAAAATCGATTTTACAAATTTTAAAATACTTGGTGTAATGTGCTTGTTTGTGTTAAATTTATAACATATGATTTTGGTGTACCATTATCCTGCCTGTTTTTGCTATTCGTTTGATCTAAAAAATTGATTTGAAAAAATTTTCTTAAAAAAAAAAGGACCTCTTATTAGTAACATTAGATCGATCCCGGGATATCTTAATAATGTTTTGCGTGGAATAACGAATAGCTAGAAGGAACATTTTTTACGTCTATTTAATTTATCTACTATTTGAATTTCAGATTATTCCATTTATTGTTAAATAATGATCAATATTAATTTACACTGATAGGAATATTGTTTGCCTAGATCGACTTAATTAATTAAAGAAAAAAGAAAGCTATAAATATACTCTGAATTAAGCGATCCTTTGTTTGAGCTTGTTGTCTTCGTACTTCTACAATAATTAAAATCAAATCATTCAATGACTGTCATATTAGTTTCGTGATAATTAAAATGGAAGCATTCTCATATCCACACACATTATACATGTATTACATTTATTTATCTTGCATTATCTTACTTTATTCTGTACTTAAATTTAATTTATTCGATTAAAAGATTTTGATTTAGTAAGCCTATTTGTATGGCAAATTATATGGTGCCAGTATAGTAATGGTATAAATTTTCAACTTACTAGTTTTCTTCTTTGAACCGCTACTGCTGCAAAAAATTGATAATTTCAAATACACTATCTATCTTTCATGAAATAATCAATTTTAGAAGTATAATTTTAATTAAACATCTTGGATGTTAACAATACATAACTAAAACTATTCCATTTAGTTTAGAAATAATTTTAATAAGGGAAGTACGAATAACAACAATAACAATGATGATGATAATAATAATAACAATAACAATAATGATGATGATAATAATAATAATAATAATAATAATAATAATGAAATAATAATAATAGTAATAATAGCAATAATAATAATAATAATAATAATAATAATAATAATAATAATAATAA